TTAAGTTACATTTACGGCATGTCGTTAATGTAGCTGGTGCTCATTTTTCAAATACGGCGTGATATTAAGAAAGAGCATTATATTTTATGTATTATAATATTTTAACTGTCGCTGTATTTATTTTAATTGTAAGTGTCGGTGTTAATCGTGAGCGAAGAAATTGTTATGTATAAATACGATATAACAGTGCAATTGTTTTATATACCTTTGCCTCTCCCGGTTTAGGCTTGACTTCCTCCTAAAATGTAGTAATAATGTTTTTTAAAATTTATTTTTTTAATATTGTAAATTTAACATTTTATATTTCATTTTATGAAGACTAAATATAATTAGAAGAAAAGTAAAATATTTGAAATAAATTAATAAAAAGTTGTGTATATATTCTTTAGATTTTACATGTTACGTTTTCGTGTACCTTCGGAGCTTCCGGTTTTGCGGGAGTTTTTGATTTTGTGGTCTGTTCCTCTTTCTAGAAAACATTTATTGTAAGATTTATATATGTATATGTTATAAAAATGTATTCCTGTTTAAAGAATATGTAAATTGTGTAAAAGACATAAATAGAATAAAAAATGTAGATAAATTATAATTAATATAAATATATATAAATACTTTCATCGTTCTATTCTACTATGTAACACAATATTATATAAACAAATTTGCATATTAACGTTAGTAACAATTTAAAGCATATAGCAATGCAATAATTAATAACAAATATATTATAATACATACAAATAATAAAATAAATAATCATATACATTGTTTTATTTCCTATAGAGAGATATAAAACTTATCTTTCATATCTGTATAATCGTGATATTTGTGATAACTGATATGTATCGTTAATATCGTGTACCTTAGATTCATCCGTGGATTTAGGTTTCTTCTTCTTTGGTTTCAATACTGGTTCTTGGTCCTGGACAATATTTATAATAAAAAAATTTAAAAGTAGAGCAAGAAGAAGAAAAGCAGCGAGAGAAGAAGGAAACGGTTATCAGAAAGAGATGACAGAAGAAAATGCGCCAGTTGAGTTAACAATAGTTAATTCAACGAGAGATGTCAACGTAGGTCTGCGAAGACGCAATAGACAGCTTCGAAGATTATAGCATGGACAAAGTGAAGAATTATGTGTATGCATCAAAGATTACATGTGTATTACAAGAAGAATAAAGAGTTATCGAAGATTATGCGACCAGATAAGTGAAAAAAGTCAATGATTAGCACTGACAGAAAATGAAGATCGTTTTATATACCTCGGACCCTTCCGTTGACTTAGTTGACGATTTACGTCTAGTGGACATCTTTTTCTACAATTGCAAAAATATAATAAAATAAAACCGTCGACAGAAAGTAGAAGTGTGGCTTGTGTGTAATTTTTGTATTATACCTTGGGCACTTCTTCCTTGTCAAGTGTGGAATTAGTATCTTTGCTCTAAAATAAAAAGAAATTAAGAAAATGATATTATCCAAATTTATCGCGTATTATATATATTCGAATGTGTGTGATTGTATGTTTGAGAATGTACCTTGGCCACTTTGGGTTTAATCTCGCCTATTTCGCGATCCGGTATATCGCTCTCCTAAAAAGATTGAAGGATAAAATCTGCCCGAAAAGCTTATTTCATTTTTTACTTAATTCTTTCGCAAACCGATAACAAATGTACATAAAGTAAAATCGTTTTACGTAGATATCAAATATTGGATATAATTAATTTAAATGTTAAATATATATCTAGTAATGTCTAATATTAATAATTTTGATATGTCGATTAAAATAAATGTAAATTTAAGTGTTGATTATTGTGAATATGTATGAGTGTGAAAGATGTATACCCTGGACTCTTTGGGTTTGCTTATACTGTCCCTAGGTTTAGATACAAGTTTAGACGCGGGTGTGGATGCAGGTTCCTGTGAGATAAATTTAGAAAAACCGCCGTATAGCAAATTAGGTGTATCCTATCTTAAAATTACCGTGTTACCTGCGTTGAAGCCTCTTTTCCCCAATGTTTAAAAATTCATATCTTCCAGAAAAATAAAGATATACACTTCTTTCTAGGCTCATCTTAAAGATGAAT